TAACATAGACAATCACAGTTTTATTATAAACTGCTTTAGATACTTTTTCATATACTCTCTAGAGACAATGAATAACTTTTCCTTAGTGGTGGGCTAGCTAGAGGAAGAAAAAGAACTTTTATTATACCCCTTTTTTATTGGAATAATATTTTGTTTTACTCAGCTAATTGCCTTCTTCTATTCAGTTGTTTCAGTGGGGTTGTCCTGCACTGTCTGGTTTGAAGTATTTCATTGGATCATATTTGTGATCTGACTTGTTTCTAACAAGCTGAAATTAACTCAATAAAATCAGCAGTAGAAATAGTTTTTTCTTCCTATGATAAATTCCTCTTTCAAATTAAAAATAAGGTATATATTTTATACTGAACTATAAGTGAAATATTGCAAATGTCAGAAAGATGCTAAGTGGGGTGAAATGTTAACTGTTTATTTAAATGATGTTGATCCAGAATGTAGAAAATTAGCCAAATTCACTCTGAGCCTCTATTTATTTAAAAGACCATCTCCAACATGACATTTCTGTAATTTATCATGCAACTTCTGAGGTACAGTTTTGTACATTTTCTGCTTTAAATTGTAATCATAAATCATGAAGACTAAGAAATGTCCAACAGGCACAGTATTGGAGTACTCTACATTTTTTAAGTTACTATGCATTGTTTTTTCTAGGTTTCACAGTATATTTATAGCCTTTGGCAATAAAAAAACACTTAATACAAGTCAAGCATAGCATCAATGGTATTCAAAACTCAGCTAAAGATTTCCAAACATATTTTAACTGTTCTAATTTCTAAATTAATGTTAATCAATTTTAATATTATTCGCTCAACAATTTTTGAACACCTACTGTGTATTAGTCACGATAAGATGCATTTAATAAAAAGTAAAATTTTAACTCATAGCAGAAATAATATCCTAGTGTCAATCATCTGAAAAGGATTTTGACAAGATAACACAACTTGAAACATATAACTCAAAGCCACAGAAGTAGAAAAAAATAGAGTGAAAAATGCCACATGAATTTTTAGATTAGCTGCTTCATTTTTTTTATGGAAGTATAGTTGATGGTACAATATTATATTACCTCCAGGTGTACAACATGGTGATTCAACAATTATATACATTACCCAGTGCTCACTACAGGAAATGTATCATCCATCACCATACAAAATTATTACAATGTTATTGACTACACTCCCAATGTCATACTTTCATTTGCAAGACTTACTTTATCATTTTAAGTTTGTACCTCTTTATCCTCTTAACCTATTCCACTCATACCCCCAACCCTTCCACTAGGGCAACCATTTTTATAGCATGTTATCTAATTAAATTAATGAAATGTTGAAGAATCACATCGACATCTTCTCAAATATTACCTCTAAGTTAATATGTATTCACAATTCTTGATTAACGTAATTATCTCTTGCTTCCAATTTGAAAGCAATGGGGATGGTCTAACCATTATAAGGAAAAACTAAATTATGGAAAAATATATCCTAAATATTAACAAATTAAGAACTTAAAGCATGTATGTATATGATTCTTTCTAAAATTCAAATATAGTATAATTTCATTCAAATGAAAAATTATCAAACTTTTAAAATTCAAGTACTCATTCCCCTTACATTCATATAAACTTTAAAATTCCCAACTTGTATGCATGTGTTTACCTTCTTTCTCCAAATACAAAATATGAGGAAGAATATTAATAAATGGCTTGAAAACCAAAGTTCTAAACTGAATCTTGGAGATTTATCTTCACTAGAGAGTTACAGTTATGTTACAGTTGAGAACTCAAAGATCAATATGTACAGCAACTCATTCAATGCCATATAGCTAATTACATACAGAGGTAGGAGCAGAGCACATGGCTCCCGATTCCCATGCCATTGCGTTTTTTTATTAATCACAGTACCTCTCAGAAAATAAGGGTTAAGAGCACCTTGGGTAAGGAAGATGCTATATGCATACTCCTCATCTACATTAAGAGTTGCCCAGCCACTCACATGACAGATTCCACGTGAACAGATGTCTGATTTGTAGTTTTCCTCTTTGCCTTATAATTCACTGATTCCATCGTATTTGTATTACTGTCTAATAAAACATTTAATATCACTAAATTCCCAATTAGACCCTCTAAACCACTGGTTCCCAACCAGGAGCCATTTTGCTCCCCTCTCCCAGAAGACATTTGGCAATATGTGGAGATATTTTTGTTTGTCACAACAGGGGAAAAGAAAGAGCTGCTAGTCACATCTACAGGGTAGAGACCGGGGATGTGGCTGAATAACTGACTGTGCAAGTTTCTCAGTTTATTAATGGGAAAAGGGAAGTTCTTGGTACCTAAGCAAGAGTAAAGATTATGTAAATGCAATCTTGATTTAGTTTCATAAAGGCAAAATCTAGCATGCATAAGTTCAAAGACATGCATTTATCAGTATTTTTATAAAGTCTAATGAAAAACATATGTTACTTTTGGAGGTATTATATATAAATTCTGGGATTAAATGGAGAGAGAGTCTATTTTCAAATGTGGTGCATTCACTATAGCTAAATAACCACCATAATCATTTACATTAATTTGGTTTCCCTTTAGGAAATTAACATAGACAATCACAGTTTTATTATAAACTGCTTTAGATACTTTTTCATATACTCTCTAGAGACAATGAATAACTTTTCCTTAGTGGTGGGCTAGCTAGAGGAAGAAAAAGAACTTTTATTATACCCCTTTTTTATTGGAATAATATTTTGTTTTACTCAGCTAATTGCCTTCTTCTATTCAGTTGTTTCAGTGGGGTTGTCCTGCACTGTCTGGTTTGAAGTATTTCATTGGATCATATTTGTGATCTGACTTGTTTCTAACAAGCTGAAATTAACTCAATAAAATCAGCAGTAGAAATAGTTTTTTCTTCCTATGATAAATTCCTCTTTCAAATTAAAAATAAGGTATATATTTTATACTGAACTGTAAGTGAAATATTGCAAATGTCAGAAAGATGCTAAGTGGGGTGAAATGTTAACTGTTTATTTAAATGATGTTGATCCAGAATGTAGAAAATTAGCCAAATTCACTCTGAGCCTCTATTTATTTAAAAGACCATCTCCAACATGACATTTCTGTAATTTATCATGCAACTTCTGAGGTACAGTTTTGTACATTTTCTGCTTTAAATTGTAATCATAAATCATGAAGACTAAGAAATGTCCAACAGGCACAGTATTGGAGTACTCTACATTTTTTAAGTTACTATGCATTGTTTTTTCTAGGTTTCACAGTATATTTATAGCCTTTGGCAATAAAAAAACACTTAATACAAGTCAAGCATAGCATCAATGGTATTCAAAACTCAGCTAAAGATTTCCAAACATATTTTAACTGTTCTAATTTCTAAATTAATGTTAGTCAATTTTAATATTATTCGCTCAACAATTTTTGAACACCTACTGTGTATTAGTCACGATTCTTGCTTCAGAGAATGAAAAGGTGATTAAGATACTTTTAAGGGTTTGGGACTTGCCAATGTGAATGCACAAGTGGTTAGTTGAGTAGGAGGGAGGTAGCATGGGGATAAGCAAAGTGGGTATTGAGTTTTAAAGGAATAGTGGAGGAGGAATGGGAGTTAAACAAATAGAAAAGGTAAGAAGATGCTTTGCTGGTCAAGAAAATAATGTATGCAAGAAAATGTATGTGTGAAAGAACTTGGAAGATTTAGAAATCTACAAGTAGTTGGTTATAGATGTAATGTAATATGTATTGGGGGGAGAGTAAAAATGAGGCTCAGACCTTGAAGAGGAGGCAGAGGTGCACATTGATTTAAGAACACATTCTTTTGTGTCCAGTTGACTTGGATTTTAATCCTAGCCCTGTCCTTTATTCACCAGCTGCTTAACCATTCCATTTACTTAAGAGTTAAATGGAAATAAAGCATACAACTTGGCAAACAGTGTGTTCTAGCACACAACTTGGCATGTGGAATTCTCAATAAATGGTAGCCATCACTGATAGGTAGTTTATACTTTATCCTTTAAGCAATAAAGAGCCATTTAATGATTTTGACTATGATGTACTTAGATTTCCATTTTATAAGTAGAATGTAGTTAGCATAGTAGAAGGAATAAAGTCAGGAAGTCAAATTAGAAGTCCAAGCAAACTGTGATGTCTTAGTGGGCTGAGGCTGCTATAACAGACTGCCATAGACTGGGATGCCTTTAACAACAAATATTTATTTTTCACAGTTCTGGAGTCTGGAAATTCCAAGATTAAGATGCTGGCAGATTCCATAACTAGTGAGGGCCTTCTCCCTGAATTTTAGACAACCTCCTTCTTGCTCTATCCCCACATACGGTGTAAGAGAGATTATATCTGTCATGTCTCTTCTTACGCTGCAGTTTTTGAAAGAGCTCCAGGTGATCTAATTATCTCCCAAAGACCCACCTCCAAATACCATCACATTGGCTATTAGGGCTTCAGTATATGAATTTTGTGGGGATACATTCAGTCAAGAGCTTATGGTTAGCACTAAACTGAGACTGTTGCTGTGAACATGGAGAAGTGGTATTTTGAAAAGATTTGGAGGTGAAATCAACAGTAGTGTGTAACCAAATTATAGGTGGATGTTGAAGGAAAAGAAAGTATCTAAGAACACTGAAGTTTCCATCTTTGACCATTAGGTTGATGGTAGGTAGAAAACAGGAAAAACATACTTAGATAGTATTAACATTTTTAAGTGTTATATTTATAGTAGTTTATTAAAATGAGTAAGTTTAGCTTCCAGTAATATCAGTAAAACACGAAAGTAAGTATCTGGCTTGTTTATGAATGTAGGTGATAGCTAACTGCAAAGGACATATAACTTCAAAATACCAAAACAACTTTGAATCATGACTTGCCTCACACGAAAAAGCAATGATAGGGGCTGAATCTTAGCTGTCTTCTTTATACCAAACCAAAAGTATAATGTATACATATCGTGCTTTGTCTGCATTTCTTCTAGGGTCCCCAAGGACCAAGAGGGCAACCAGGGCCTCCAGTGAGTTTATTTACATTTGTATCTTTTTACTGTTGATGCCAAAATATTTGTGTAGTTTGAGACATCTACTAAATAAATACTTTAAAAAATTTTTATAGGGTCCACCTGGAGCACCGGGTCCAAGAGTAAGTTTCTTGGCTTTGTTTTTCTTAGTATGTCATATTAACTTTTTACACCTCTTCTATTAATTCTGTTCTTCTATTAACTTCTACTAACTCTTCTTGCCTACCTCTGTTCATTTTGCTAATCTGATGTGTAGCCTTCCCAACTGTAATAACTTGAAACCCAAGCCTCAGACTTCTTGTCTGTAAAATGGGGATGGCACCTCTAACTTTAGTGGGTGGACTTGAATTTTAAGTAAGAAGTGAAGCACTCAGCACATTGCCTGACATAAGTGCACAAAAAATACTAACACCTACTTCTGAGTTCCAGCTTGCCTTTTAAAATGTTCTTTTTTTTTTTTGCCAACCAGTTATCCACTTCTTAGGCTTTACATGAATCCTTAGTTGCTGACTGCAGAAGCCCTCAGACTTCTCATGGATTTGCTTGTTACATATTACAGCCCCCAAGTTGTTGCTTTTATCTTTGAGGCAATGCTTCTGTTGCCTAATTATCAGCTATGATCGCTGATATAGTTGATAATACAAAGCATAAGTATTGAATACCTATAGTGTGTCAAGCACCATTCCTTTCTCATTTAATCCTCCTAACATTTCCTCAAAGTGTATAGTCTCATACACATTTTTTTCAGAGCAAAAGGCTCTCATGCATCCTACTTCATTTTGGAATGAATGTTCCAAGCTTGGTTTCTCTTATGCTTTGTATCCTCTCTCATTCTCAGTAATCTCTTTGTCTTACTGCTTCCTTCAAGAGGTCTCCTCCCATTCCCAGCCTCACCTGTACCGCACTCCTACAGTATCCTGGTCAAATAGAATGGTCCTTGATCAGATTTCCTGCCTAAAGGATACACTGTCCCAAATAATGGTGTCCCATGCCTTCCAAGGCTTACTTGTTTCCACATGCTGCTCTGGTGTCATTTGGATCTCTTATGGTTCTAGTTGTTGAATAACTGTGGTCTACTCACAGCAGGCTAGGAACTCTTCATTCTCTTCAGCTTTTCATCAGGGCAAGAAATAACTTTCAAGCAAAGTGCCACAAGGAAGATTGTCTTCTTGGAAACAGAAGATCCATTTCTCTTTGATTTTTTAAAATTACTACTCCTTTCTGACCATCTGATTGATGGAGATTGAAACCTTCCTTGGTGTGAAGATCAATGAGAATGTCTTTCTTTAATCTTCGAATTACTTTCCACTTCTCTGTTCTTTCTTTCCCCCTAGATCTCCACAATGCATGGGTTACAAATAACCTCATCAGTTGCCTTCCCATGAAAGACTTTGATATATCATAGCTGCCTCCCCATGAAAGAACAAGTTCCAAAAGATCATACATTGGCAAATTAGAGATGTGTAGAGAAAATTTTGACATTGAAGTGCTGTACTTTGGGACACCATACCCATCTCAAATGAAAAATGCTTTCATGTGTTCATATATAGCCATGAAATAAGATGCGTGAGAGGTTTTTGCTCTGAGAAAAATGTGGATAAGAATATACCCTTTGAAGAAATATTAGAAGGATTAAATGAGAAAGGAATTGTGTTTGACACACTGTAGTTGCTCAATAAATGTTAGTTTCTTTGGTTCTTTTCTTCCTTTTTTTCCTTTCTGTCTTCTTTCTTCTTGGCCAATATGAAAAACTAGTATAGGTTTTCTTAAAAATAGTATAGGTTTCCTTATACTATCTTTTTAGGAGTTGCCAAGCCCACTGTAGGAAAGTGGTAGCATAGCCTTGAGAATACTACTTCCAGAGCAGAAGTTTAAATGTCAATGAGAAAATAACTGCATATTCCTGGTAAAATCAAACTATGATCATATCTTCTGTGAAACTTCTTAATTCCTTCCTTTCATCTCACTGCAAATTAAAACTGATCATTCCTTCTTCATATACTCATTTATTTTCCTGCCAGTCTTCCTGTTTAGACTGCCAAATCTCTGAAAGTATGGACAATTTTTTTAATTTCATTTCCTTTCAAGCCTTAGTAAGTGTTGGCTGAATGAACAAATGAATAAGTACTAAAAGCAAGTTTCATCTCATAGAGAATTTCAGTGGGAATACTTCAGGATAGAAGACTTCACTTGGAGGGAAACAGTGTCTAGAATAGAATAGGATCATAGAATTAGAAGCAGAAAAGTCCTCTTAGTAATTATTTAGCAATTATTTCATACTATGTCGTGACTCATTGGTCAGTGGATCCCAAGACCAGTTTACTGAGTCTCATTTAGCATTGTTTTGAAATGAAATTATATGAGATAGGATAGAAAAAAATAATGGGGAGTGACTGCTTAATGGGTATATGAGCTTTCTTTCAGAGGTGACAAAAATGTCCTAAAATTAAATAGTGGTGATGATTGCACAATGTGGTGAATCTACTAAAAGCGACTAAATCATATACTTTAGAATAGTTAATATGGTGAATTTTATGTTATGTGAATTTTACCCCACTAAAAAAAAGCAAAAGAAAAAATTGGTTTATCACCACAATTAAGAAAAAGTACGGTTTTTTAAGTTTTCAATTAAATATATGTATGTTTGTGTGGACCTTGTCATGATGTAAAAATGTATTTCTTAACTGTGGGTCAAGATCAGAAAAGTTTGAACCTCTAATCCTGTCCAACACCCTCTTTTTAAGACCTATGGAAGTGAAGTAACTTGCCCAAGTTCCTAAAGTAGAATAGCTAAAAGGGAATGTTTCAGGAAGAGGAATATATATTGATGGTGCTTTTGAATGTGAGGATATTATCAGAGTGATGGCCAGACCACAGCGCACATGGTAAGATACTTAGAAACTCACAAAGAAACCTACAGCATGATGTCAAAGTTAACCAGAAATGATTGTGGGGTAAAGGAAGAACAAAACAGGTATGTGTGTCTCTGTGTGGAATGAGGGGTGGAGACAATTGTCATTTAAAAATCACTAAATGAGATAAGAAATGTTCAACTTATTTGTTCCAAATAATGGTTAACTGTAAAACCTGGATTGGTAAGTATAGAGGTTGCAGCTGCTGGTATAGTCCTGGTTCCCTAGAACAAGCAATTACTTCCACCATGGAGAGGACATGACCTGAAATCAGTTCCTATCCCATCAATGTTTTCACTATCCAGTGATCTTAAGACTTCAGATGACTCAAAATACTGGAGTGCCCAGACTGCCTCTACATTGCATTCAAATACATCCAGAGAGGATTGCAAAGATCACATTCCCCCGAGGTATAATGAATACTGATTTCCTTCATTAGTCCTAACAATCTGGTTACTTCTTATTCACTGTATTTTACTTCATGTGCACATTTTTACAAACATTAAGTGATTGTATGAGAATCTGTGCTGTTTGCCTTGAGTACATGGAGTAAGTTATTTCTTTTAGATTCCCTTAATGCACCTAATGAGAGTTTTACACTCACATAAGGGCACTTAGATGTTGCTGAATGACTTCCTAGGCAAATTCTTTTACTACAGTCTCTTTGAGCCTGTCCTTCCTAAAATCTGTCCTTGGGGAAAAAGTTTAATATCTTCAATAAATTAAATGCCTATTATGCACCAGCTGTGAGCTGGGCTTTGGAAATTATACAACTATGGATATTGCCAAGAAAATTTATGAGTGGCCAAGTGTTATGACATTTCTCTTCTTGCTAATTCCTGTGGGAAAAAATAGCCTTGTTCATTGAGGTGATATTTACACTAATACTGGCTCAAATTGCTTGGTACCTTAGCATGAACAAGTACCAAACTCTGCACTATTAATCTACTTAAAGTCATTGTATTCTTCTCTGCCACACACTCACAGAAAATATAATCATTTTACTTAAGAATATCCTGCAACTTGTTTGTCTAGTCCTCTGTTGATGGGCATTTAAGTTCTTTCCTATCTTTTTCTAATACAACAATACAAATCATTTTGTACATATACATATCATTTCGCAGAATATCTATAAGACTATTTCCAGAAGTGGGATGGTTAAGTATAAGAGATAATGGGCATATTTATTTATTTATTATCTTGAATTGTGGTAAAATATACGTAAGAGTTACCATTTTAACCATTTTCAAGTGTACAGTTCAGTGGTACAAAGTACATTCACATTGTTATGCTTCCATCACCACCAACCATCCCCAGAACTTTTTTGGTCTTCCACAACTGAAACTCCATATTCACTAAACAATAATTCTTCATTCCTACCTTTCTCAAGCTTCTGGCACCCACCATTCTACTTCCTACTTTTATTAGTCTGACTACCATAGGTACATCATATAAGTGGAGTCATACTGTAGTTATTATATTTTGACTGACTTGTTTCACTTAGCATAATGTCTTCAAGGTTCATGCATGATATGACATGCCAGAATTTCCTTCTTTTTTAAGGCTGAATAATATTCCATTATATGTGTATAACACATTTGATTTAGCTAGGTAGACACTTGGGTTGCTTCTACCTTTTGGTTATTGTGAATAAGACTACTGTGAACATAGGTGTATAAATACCTGTTTTAGTTCTTGCATTCAGTTCATTTTGGTGAATACCTAGAAGTGGAATTGCTGAATGATATGGCAATTCTGTTTAACTTTTTGAGGAACTGCTATACTGTTTTCCATAGCAGCTGCACCATTTCACATTCCCACTAACCCTGCACAGAATTCCAGTTCTCTACATCCTCACCAGCAGTTGTTACATTCTTTTTTAAATCACAGCCATCCTAATGGGTATCAAATGATATATAATTGTGCCTTTGATTTATAGTTCCCTAATGACTAGTGCTGTTGAGCATCTTTTCATGTGCCTATCACCTTATATTATCTTCTTTGGAAAAAATGCCTGTTTAAGTCCTTTGCCCTTTTTTGAATTCGGTTGCTTATTTGTTGTTCAGTTGTAGGGGTTCTTTATATATTCTGGGTATTAATCCTTTATCAGATATATTATTTGCAAATATTTTCTCCTATTCCATGGGTTGCCTTTTCACTGTGTTGATAGTATTCTTGGCACAGAAATTTTTAATTTTGATAAAGTTCAA